TAGCGTTCTGATGCCCTGCCTCATCCCATGGGTGGGGGAGTGAGTGAGTGGCTGTGTGGTTCTTGGCTGCTGGCTGGGGTTAAACCACGACACAGCTATTAGCCAGCTATTCTTGCAGTGCTGGACCAAGGGCTTTCTAGAACATCTAGCTCTCTGCTGCCAGCAAGAAAAGAAGGATTGCTGTCATCTCCTGACAGCTTTTCCTGGCTATGCAGAGCTGCCTCTGACCTAGCCTTTCTCCTCGGGGCTTTACTATTCTTGGGAATTTTCCATATAGTTCCCTTTCCTCATTCCCAGACTACTGTTGCCCTCGCATGCTTTGACCTCACAGTGTCTGAGTATCTGCAGCCTTTTATATTTCTGGTTTGGGCTCAACTGGACAAATCTGGTCTCACTCTGGTGTGGCTCAGCAAAAAACTCCTCTGGGTATCTTTGTGGGGTCTCAGGACCTGATAGAAGACAGTCGTGACAGCAGGGTTATGCATATTCATGTGCAGTGGTGGGCTGTGCCACTGCCCAGCCACGCTTTTGGCTGACAGTTTTCTGCTGGATCAACACAGAAGCTGTGTGCAGTCATGGGACCTTGGCAGTGGGAAACGTGTATGTGACAAAGACCAGTGCAGCTTGGCACAAACCCAGCAATGTGGCCGTCCCAGCTTAATCATCACCTGGAATGCTACTAAAGCTGGGGAAAACTGAGTATCACACCACAGGCCAAGCATGGAGTCTGCTCAGTTCCAGGCTGCCTTGTGACTGCCAAATTCCGTGATAAAAATACCCCAGCAGGGATGGCACCTGCTAGTACATCAGGCCAGCTCGCCAGCCATGGGCTGCTCTCTGCCATTCCTTTTTTGCACCACCTTTATCTGTGGGAGGGGAAGCATCCCTTGCCCTCTGAGCAGTTTTGCCCATCCTGTTGGTGGTGCCATGTGCTCTGAAGGACGGGAGAGCATTTTGCTTTGCTGCTGCTTGCTCCAGCCATGCACTCATTCTAGTTGGTACTACTTGGGGCTTTGACGAACAGCTAGGAGATTCACACCAGACAGCCAGGAGGGCTGTTCCTGTGCAATCATCTTTATATGAGTTTATTTCCCTGGGGGTTGTTAGGAAGAAAGTTTTACCCTCTTTAGAAGACAGGCGAGACTATCAGCAGTGATATAAATAGCTGAGCTCAACACTTCAAGCTAGCTTTTCCCACAAGGAAGGTGACAGGAGGTCGCCATTTCTGCAGGATGTTTCTAAAATAAAGTGGAGAGTGTGATTGTAACACTGTTTCTGCTCTCCCTAGCTGGGCTCACCTCTTCCCCTTGGCAAGTCCCAAGGGCATGTGGAGAGGTTCTCTGAGGAAGGCTTCTTTGTGTGAGGCAAGCACAGTTCCCAGGGAAGGGGAAAGTATCAAATTAAAAGCTATTGTATTTTTGCCCAATCTTTGTGTGTGATTTGCTCAATTGGATACAAATGTGTGTCTCTGATAGTTAATGAGATTTCCCAACAAACTGGAGGATGGGGGCCCAAGATATTTTAGAGGCTTACACGCCAGACACATGGCTGTGTGTGGAGGCCAT